GTCTGTGTCCTGGATTCTCCTCTCTCCACCTTCCCCACCCTTCTCCGGGGCCCAGAGGAGGTTAACAGTTAATGTTTGTTTCATGACAGCCTGTGTTCCAGGCTGTTTTGACACAATTGTGTGACTCATGGTCCAACACAATGATTAACAGGGTGTCTCTCAGCATTGTCTGTATTTAAAAATCAAGGAAAGATTGGTCTAGGGCCTGGAGTTGATTTGACATGAGCATGCATTGGTTAAAAGGGAACACGCATTAAATCAGCTTTAAAATTTAGTGATTCATGCCTGGAACCACAGTATAATTGGGTTATAATTCTAACTGTATCTTATTTTGAAGATTATATTCATTAGAATATTTGGCGAGGGCCTTGGAGTAAAAGCAGTATCATTTTTGCTTCTCTGAATGATGCACCCGAGGAGAGGGAAAGAAGAGAGAATGGCCACTAAAAAGAGAGACAGAGACTCGCATGGTGTCACCCGCTTGGGAGTTCCTTGGTTCTTCCTGCCTCTGAACCAGCTGCCCCCTTTGAGCTCCTGCTTCGTGCTGCCTCTTTGCGCCTCTTCCTTTAACCCCCAAGCGGCGTGGGTGTGATTACAATTCCCGTTTTGCTGATGGGAAAACAGACCACAAAGAGTCTGCATTGGCATCTAGATCTGTGCCCCCACAGCCCCCACCCTTCCTATGCTGCCACCCCACCTCTGGGTCATGTGGAAGCCAGATGGTGTTCCACAGCCAAGGAAGAAAGGCAGAGGGTTCTGGAATCTGGGGTCTAATCATTTGCCCCAGCTTTCTGGACATTTTCCCCACCGACCATAGGAAGTCAAGCTGAGGGCCGAAGGTAGGCCCAGGCCTGTCGGGCCCCATGGTGTAGTGTAAGAAGGGGAGTTTGGCATCTGAAGAGGAGGATTCCGAATCCTGGCTGCTGCTCCTGCGGTTTTACCTGCTCTGGGTCTTTGAAAAAGGCGTCTTGCCACCGTGCTCCTTGGTTCTTCATCTGGAGAACGAAGGAGATGTACTGGTGACGTATGAGGGCCCCTCCGTTCATTCCTGCATGAACGTAGGTCCCTAGGGAGCTGACTTTTGAGGTCATTCTGAGCTCTAGTTTTATGCACTTAGAATACGCTATATACATGTTTGCTGGAAAGGTTAGAGAGAGGGAGACGTAAACACTGAACAGTGGGGAAGGCTGCTGAGAATGTGTCTTGGCCGCCAGGATGGGAGACCATCGGTCTCCACACTCCGCCTGTGCCCTACAACTGCCCCTTCCCCCGGGGTCACGTGGACAGTGTTTAAGCTGCAGCCTATAGGGGTCTATTACACACTCCACTTGGCCTCGGCGTTTCTGTGGATGTCTCTATCACGGAAATGAGGAAACGAGAGAGAGCGAGATTTCAGAGGGTCTCCCCATTTGCATGGCTCAACGTTGATACCCAGCCAGCCATGAAATTGTGTTCCCGGAGAGGCGAACCCACCCAGCCGCCACGCACAGAGCAGCATCCGACCGGAGCGAGAGGGAGCGCGGCCCCCGGCCCTCCCCGGGGTCTATGGCTAACTGGCTGTGGGAGTGACAGCAGGAGAGGAAAGGCCAACAGCCGGCACACACTCCACAAAGGGAGGAGAGACCTAGGATGCTCGTACGTATTGATCTGTTACGCACATATAACGGAAAGGGGACAGTCAGGATTCCTAAACTCTTTAGAGAGTGGGTGGGCCCCACTTCTCGCTGGAAAGAAACTCCAGGGGGACTCATTCCCAGTGCAAACTCTGGCTCCATCCAGAGAACACTGGCTGTGTTCAATCACTTGCCAAAGGCTGCCGGTTTTCAAGACAAGTATGTTTCCCAGCAGACCTGGCACAGTCCTTGGGAGTTGCTGCTGAACGCATTCCTTGTCCACAGAGCCCAGTAGAATCAGCCATTCTCTCCCGGCAGGTGTCAGCCCCAGCCTGTCCCCATCTTAGGAACAGCCCGATTATGACACCTCCTCCAAGAAATCCTGCCCGAGCCCTCCAGGCCACATCCTGTTGTGTGGCGGGCAGGTCAAAGGCTTGGGAGCACGCAAGGCCTGAATTTGAACCTGTGCTTCACTGGTTTCTGGCTGTGTGGCCTTGGACAAGTAGCCTGGCTTTGAAAGCATCACCTGTCAAAGGAGTTATCAGAGCAACGGGGAAGAATCTGGATTCACAAAGGAAAGAATTAGTTGTTTTTTTCACATCCATCATTGCAAGTTCCTGTTCCATCCCAGTAGGGAGACTTCACCTTCGCAGATGAGAGTCCTGCCGTTCCCTTAGGGTGCTAGCTGGTTTCAGGGGGATTTGTATGGTGCTCGGGTGTTGAGGGGACTTCCAAGAAAGGGGTGCTCACCTCTCCGGTCCTAAGTTCCTGATGGAGCTTCAGGACTGGCCGCTTTCTCAGAGTCTCCTGGCCTTACTCAGAGGCACAGAAGTATCTGCACTGCTCCTCACGCTCTCTGTGTAAGACCATCTGTTCATCCATCCAGGTGCCCAGACCAGCATCCCCTCCCAACATCACACACCCCTGCTGGCACTTAGTCCCGGTGACAGCCTCAGGTGCCCTCCCCCTGCATCTCTGTTGTCTAATCTCCCACACACACCCCTGCCTGGGGAATCAGTCCCTTGTCTGGGGGAATCCAAAGTTTCTTCCTCTATGTTTCCCCAAATGTTGATCCAGACCCAGATCCTCCCCACCCTCTTAAGAGTTCTGGCTTCTGGAAACAAAACTGGGGAAGAGCCTCAGCTTTAAGCCCCACCTGCTCTCCTCCCTGTCACAGCTCTCCCTGTGGCAGCGCAGAAGCCAGAGAGGGAGGGAACAGGGAGGGGTTAAAGGAATAGAGGCTAAGATCTCAGACATACTCTCTTACCACTTAAGGATTAAATAAAATAGCATATGAAGGAACTCACCATGTTTTAGGACCTCATCAATGATGGCTATTATGTTTCCCCCCTGTGGTCTGATGGCCACATTATCTACATCTTTTTTTTTTTTAATTAATTATGCTCAGCCTTGAGCCATCTATTGTATTGGCGATTTGCTCTTTTATATTCTCCCAGTTTCTACACTTTATTCTCCCAACTCAATGTAAGCTCCTGGAGAACATGGTCTTACAATTCACCGAATCTAACAAGGGTAGGCATACAGCAAACGCTTTTAAATGTGTGCAGATCTAGCTTCAGGAGTTTAACATCATGTTCCCAAAGATTTGGCGAAGGTCCTTTGTGTTAGAAAATCAGGTTGGGTTGTTTTGTTTTTGTTTTGTTTTTTCTTAAGATAATTCATGAGCATGTTTCTATCTAAATATTAACAGAGGAGCCATGTGGTATCTGCAGACACTCTGGGCTAGATAGTAAAAAGAAAGAGATTTTCCATGTATCCATTATATTTTAAAGTCCTGCATCACAACAACCCCTGAGTGCAAATATATTTCAAATTTTATGCTGGCCTCCTATTGCAAAATGCTAATTGAATTGATTTCCTGGAGCTGCATCGCTGATAAATAGAGTACATCACAGATCTGGGATTTCTGAGTCAAAAATAGAGAACGTGGATGCTTTGCTGAGGGGAAAGAATGCGCAGGAAAATGTCTTCACATTCAAAAGAGTTGCAGAGTTTGGTCTGAAGGAGGGAGCTGCTGAATGGGCTCTCTGAGCCTCATGGGACCGGGCTGGCCAGTGCCGCCAGGAGGCCTCACTGATGGATATAGTCACACTGTGGGGCGCATACATCACCACTTCTTACTAGCGGCTTTGGGTCACCTGTTTCTCCTCTCTAAGCCGGAATTTGCTTACCTGTAACTACAGAATAGCACCAACCTCGCAAGTGTCTGATGAGTCAATAATGGAATGTGCCCAAACCGGTTTGGCTCAATGGATAGAGCAGTTGGCTTGGGGACTGAAAGGTCCTGGGTTCGATTCCGGTCAAGGGCATGTACCTTAGTTGCGGGCACATCCCCAGTAGGAGGTGTGCAAGAGGCAGCTGATCGATGACTCTCTCTCATCAATGTTTCTTACTTTCTCTCTCCCTTCCTCTCTGTACAAAATCAATAAAATATATTTTTTAAAAAATAATGGAATGTATGTTGAGGACGCCACAGATGTTAGAAACACAGTCCACACCCAGTTGGGAGCTGACCATCTGGATGTCCTGGTAGATGCAGCTTTGCCATTCGTACCAGGCTCAAACCCTCCTTTTTACAAGTCAACGGAAGTGCCCTTGTGCTGAGGTCTTTGAGGGGCATATTATCCATGGGGGCTTTGAGGGCCTTGAACAGAAGGCCCCAAATTGGCTACCTCAAGCCATGGCTACCACAGGTCATTCCTCAAAGCCAGATCTGTTGAGCGTCCCCTGTGGACTGAGCTCTGCAGTAGAGCCTTCTCCTTCCACTGCCGAAGTAAAGATGCTCTGATTGGACAGTGACAGAGAATGGGTCAGAATGGCTCCAACCATAGGGGTGGACGATGGACTTACTCAGGGGAAGTCCCTGCACACCGCCCAGCGCACAGCAGACTTTTAGCCAATGGTAGCTTCCTCCTCCCTCCTATTCTGTCTTCTCAGACTGTGAGTCTCTGAAAGTAACTATTTTAAGATTCCAGGCTTTCTAAACAGGTGCAGCTGGGAGTGTCACGGTGTCGGCGGCATATTGCATCCTCTTGTTGTGAACCAGGCCACCGAGCCCCCCGCCTGGAAGGAAAGGATCGGGTGTAAGGTAAGGTGACCAGACGTCCCGCTTTTGGTGGGACAGTCCTGATTTTCAGCAATTTGTCCCGCAGCGTTTTTTAAAGAAAAGAAAAGTCCCGATTTTTCAAAAAATCGGGACTTTTATTTAAAATGCCGCGAGACAAATTGTTAAAAATCAGGACCTCTGGTCACCTTAGTGTAAGGGGCACAGTCTTTGTCCTTGGCTCCAGAGCCAGGCAGCGCCTTGAGGTTGTGTCTCCTTCCCATCCCCACAGAAACAACAGTGGCTGCCGCTTTCTCTTCCAGGAGGAGAAGTCACCAAACCGCGGTTCGCCCAGTTCTTCCACGGCAGCCTGGCCAGTCTCACCATCCGCCCTGGCAAGATGGAGAGTCAGAAGGTGATCTCCTGCCTGCAGGCCTGCAAGGAAGGGCTGGATATCAATTCCCTGGAAAGCCTCGGCCAAGGAATAAAGGTAAGGAAGGAGCCAGCGCTGCTCCCAGACAGATGTATGAGCAGGAGGCTGCCCAGGTCAGCTGCACTCTGAGAAATGGAGTCCTCTCCTGCCCAGTGGCACAGAGACAGGAAGTTTTAATAATTTTAAGGTTGCCTTCTCGCCAGGAAAAGGTGCTGCCCCTGGGGGCAGGTTGGTGACTGTGACTCCAAATGGACACCTCCTGAATGTCCTAGAGAAAGCCCTGTGGGCGGATAGTCAGGCACACGGTCAGTGTCCACCTGAGGGAGTCGGTATGTTTCCCCTGTTCTTTGGTTGGTTGGTTATTCCCCTAAAGGAGCCGAAGCAGTTTGCAGGAAGGTATTTTTCAAAGTAAAAAGCTTGGACCATGCATGGTGCACATGAGAAAGGAAGGGCAGAGCCGGTGGGCTAGAATTAGAAAGCAGATGTGGCGGTGGCTGGGTCTTTTATTGTTGAGTTGAAGCATAGATTGAGCCCCGAGCAATCTCTGGCCATCGAAGGGAATGCAAACGGACTCTGGGTTTTGATCATGTATGCAAAACACAAACATTTGAGTAATCCAAGAGAATCAAAGCTGCATTCTGAGCAAAGCTCCTTCTGAAGGGAGGGGAGCGGGTGTAGGGGAGAGGAGGGGAGGAAAGCGGGAGGGAAGGGAGGGCAGGATGTGGCCTACTCTGCCTCAGCAAGCATCTGCCTGACGGGCAGGCCTGGTTCTGGCCTCACCTGGATGGCAGGAGCCCCTGCCTGCATGAAGGCTCTCGGGACCTGAGCAAAGAGCAGGATAACATCCCGGTAGCCCTCACTCCCTCACCCGGCCCTCCAGCCCCTGTGGAGCCCCGCTGCCCTCCAGCCCTGGGCTTGCTTCTCCGGCTGGGAGCAGCCCAGCAGCGGAGAGCCCTCCGACTGGAGCCGCGTGGGGCTTGTGCAGCTCTGATGGAGGCTCTGGAAGGGCTAGTGAGCTGAGCACACCGTGCTTTTGTCTGAGTCAAGGTCGAGTCAGCAAACATTCCACGGACGCCCGTGTATTCGGTCTCGGCTGGGTAAAGGGGCACAGAAAGGAATGTGCCCAGCTTTTTGTCTTCAGGAAACCCAGTCCTCCTCCTGAGCTCCAGAACCTGGGGAATGGCAGTCAGGGGAGGCTCCTTGGAGGAGGCGGAGACTGTGCAATGGAAAGCAGAGCAGGGCTTCTTCAGGAAGATGGCTATTCCACAGGGAGTCATTATATTTCACCTGCTCATTGGTTGGTTGGTTGTTTACTCCACTGCAGGGACTGAAGCAGCATGCAGGGAGAAGTTTTTAAAAAGAAAAAGTTCTGGAATGGGTAGGAACCAACCAGGAAAAAGGTAGGGGGTAGAGGAATGGGAGAGGGCAGGGTGGTCACTCTAGCCAGAGCCGAGAACCCGCTGGTTGCAGAGGGCTGAGGAAGCCGCAGTGCACCCTGGGACTCTGGGGCCAGTGTTTAAGGGACCAAATTGCAGGACTGAGGTAGACAGTGTGACCAGAGAGGTAGACAGAGGCCCCCAGAGGCCACGTCAGGGAGCCTCGTTCACTGTGTTTAGGTGTTTACTTTTTCTCTGTCAGCCTCAGGCAGCCATGGAGCACTCCAGGCAAAAGAGCGTGGTCTGGGCCCTTGTGGGGTTTAGGATGCTCACCTGGAGCCTGAGTCAGAGCAGGGAGATGGTAGAACATACACAGGGTGAGGCAAGAATAGCTTTCCGGAACCTTGTTTAACATGCATTAAACACACACACATACACTCACACACACGCTTCAATAGCTAATCGCCACCATGAAAGGGAACTCAGAAGACTAACTCCTAGCGGAAAGGTTGTGTTTTATGGCAACGGGTCCAGGCAAGCCCCTCACGGCACGTCACACACACCCACCCTCCCATGCAGAGCCTGGGGTTTGATCCTGGACCTGCCTTTTGTGGTCTGTGCTATGTCCTCGGTGTGTTGTCAGACCAGTGAAGCAGAAATCCCTCTACCAATCCTCCCCTCTTTGTCACATTCTGGGTTTGCTCCTGGCCCCTAAGTGGGTCTCATCTTTCCCAGGTCATCCCGTGGGGGAGGCTGGTCTGATTTTTCAGGGTTCCATCTGCTCACGGCCAGTCAGTGCGGAGGATCCTTTTACATCCTTAGGGCCCTGCTCGCCAGCACGGGGGCCTGGGTGAGAAATGAATGGCAGGCACACTACTGACAGTGTGCCCACTGGGGCCCTCTTGCGTTCGTTATCCCAGCTCCTCACAGCAAGTTAAATGGGCTGACCCCATTTCAGCAATAAGGAGATGGGGGCTCAGGGACTTGTCCCAACTCGGATTAGAAAGCATTCTTAAAATTATTAAACCTTCCTGCCTGCCTCCACTTATCCCTCATTTTGTTGCTGAATAGTGGCTATTATTTTCTTTCCTGGCCCCCTGCCTCCTCTCTGGCTGTGAAAGAAGTGGCGTCCTCCTGGGATTGAGGAAGCTTCCTGTCAGCTCACAGGGCCAGTCAGTTTCTTTCTTTCTTTCACTGACTTTCCCCAGACCAGGCACATTTCTGAGTCTCTCTCCCACATGTCTGGAGTCATTACAGTGGTTGGGTGGCTGCTGTCTTGCAGCCACACAAAACCTGGTGAGATAGCACCTTCCTGAAGGAAGCCGGCTCTGATCTCCTGCACCACCCCTGTGGCTGTCACCTGCTCAGTGCGGGAGAGAGGGCAGAGCAGGGACTTTGGAACAAACCATCCGGGGCTCAGATCACAGTGCGACGTTTACTAGCTGGTGGCCTGGGGCAGGGCGCTCCTATCCTGTAAGCCTCACTTCCCTCATGCAAAATGGACTTAGTCTTTTGCAGAGATGTTGTAAGAATTGAATTTTACACACACACACACACATATACACACACACACACACATATATATATATATATATATATGTATGTATTTTAGATATAGCAAAGGTGTAGCTATACACACAGATATAGACAAATATAATTATAGCTATAGAAATAGATATAATTACATATATATTTATAGCTATTGAAATAGATGTAGAAATAGATATAGATATTATAAGTTGATATATAGAGACATATTTAAATAGATACTGATATAGATAATATAGATACAGCTGATATAGATGTAGACATAGATATAGGTATATAGATTAGATATAGATATATAGGTATATATAGATAGATGCAGATATAGATACAAAGGCATAGGCATAGATATAGGTACATAGATCTCTCCTAGCAAACCTAAAATCTCAACAAGAACAAAAATCAGTTTCCTTCTCCAGCTGGGCTGGGCTTGCAGGTCTTTTGGAAAGTAAGCCTGGGTGACAGCTGTCACAGAGGCAACTCCGCTGGCCCAGCCCAGAGAGCTGGCAGGTGTCCGAGGGAATCATGGCAAGGTGCCTAGACTGCCATGGCCGGCCTATCCTAGAGAACAGGTCAGAGCTTTGGGCAGGAATGTCACCCCGCTCCAGCCTGGTAATGGCTGGTGACACCGGCCAATCCTCAGAGCTGACCCCTCTGCAAGGACCCCCGTCCAGCAGCTTCTTGGCTTAAAGAAAGGAAACACTGGCTACCACACAGCTTCCCTGTGACAATGCCAGTACCACCCTATGTCACACACAGCTAGAGGCCAACCTCCGCCATGCCACAGGGCTGTGAACATTGCAGTTCAAAAAACAAAACGAAGCAAACACCTATTTGATAGATGACATTATTGATCTTACAAGAACTATGTCGAAGGCTGTGGTAGTTCTTGGAATGCTCTGGCAACCAGATGAGAGTGTTATCTGGAGGTCCAGCACATTCCCTGACCTGCCCTCTCTGAAGAGGTTGCAGTAGGAAAGTGCCCTCTGCTGGCTTCCCAGGGCACTGCTGGTCCATCCTGGGGAAGAACTGCATTGCCTGTTCAGCCCTGATGCGAGGCTCAGAGATCAGCCTTGTCTGCAGAGTCATCCCCTGGCTTCATGCTTGTCATGTGCTCGGCCCATGTGCTGTCATAAGGAAAGTCAGTAGATCCTATCCTCCAGGGGCTCCCAGTCTGCCGGGGGCAGCAGGCAGAGAGACAGACAGCAGCTCTACTATCCTATAGCAGGGATGTGATGGGGCAGAAAAAACCTCTGGGAACAGAAGTATCTTCAGAAGAATGACCTTGAATCTGCTCAAATCTGAACCTGGTGATTGGTGAGCACTCAGAACTCCTGTACCGTGACTCATCAGTGCGTGGCAGCCAGTGAATCATCCCGGCAGGAGAGAAGCCGGCCGGAGGCTGACTGCAGCGTCACCTGCTCTAGGCCGGGGGACTTTGTGTCCAGCGCAGGGAGAGCTGCTCGTGACCAGACGTCACAGCTCAGAGAGACCCTGCTCAGGGCCTTCAGGACAGGAGGGCCCTGGAGCGTGGGGAAAGGCGAGCAGCAAAGGCAGGGAATCAGCACAGGCAAAGTCTCTGTGCAAGCATCATTACAATGTTAAGAATGATGACAAAAACTACCATACATTGATACTTTATATGCATTATCACAGTTAAGCCCCAGTCAGGCAGATTCTAATATCCTATTTTAAATGAAGAAATGAAGTCCAGAAGGGAGATGTGTGCTCCAAAGTTGTACTCCGTCTGTAGTTTGTACCAGAACTGGGTGATGGCCATCCACACAGCCCATCATCTCCCAGGATTACCACAGCCTTGGGGACGTTAGAGTCACGCCAGTTCCTCCAATGGGCTAAGGGACTGAAGTAGCAAATGACTCCAACATCTCTATGGCTTCATGCCTAAAAGTTTATTTTTCTCACACTAAGTCAGGGGGAGGGGTAGAGGGGTATTCTGCCTAGAATGCCACCGGCCACCAGAACAGAGAAAGAAAAAGGCTGGCGTGTCCTGCGGGGCGTTTTTCCCAGAGCTGCTGCTTCACTTTCTCTCACATCTCATTGGCCAGATGCAGTCACGTGGCCTTGCCTTCCAGTGGCAAAGGGGAGCTGGGAAGTGCAGGATGCCCTGGAAGGAAAGAACAGGATTTGATGAGCACCAATGATGACTCCCAGAGAGGCTTGACTAAAAAGACATGTGACAGCAGAAAGAAAGTCCCTCGGGGGAGTAACAAGAGGTGACACGGAGTGAAATGTATGGTGGATGAGCTTACAGGGCACGAGAACGAGGTTCTGGGCTTCAGGGATAAGACTCGCTGAGCTCATGGTCACCGCACTGGGATCATGATGCCACCACGTCATGCGCATTCTCGGAGCCTCCTGGGGACCTAGATGGGGGAAGACGAGGAAGCCTCAGGAGGGATCCATGAAACATTCGCCTGAAAGGTGAAGGAGACAGAGGTGAGGCTGTCAGTTGGCCAGGGGCCACAAGCAAGGGACATATATGGGTCAGTGTCACCATGAGACATCCAACTTCCATCATGTCCAAGCCCAGAACAAGGAACTTTTATAAAGACATACAAGTCCTGTCAGAGAAAAGCTCAAATAGATAGATTTTTCCTTAGGCCCATGAAAACATACTCAGTCTCCTTCATGGTAAGAGGAATGCAAATTTAAACTACACTGAGATGGTATATATATCACCTACCAGATTGGCAAAAGTCCCCGACAGCGTACTCTGTGAGAGGGAGTGTCTATTGCTCTGATCCCTAGCCATGGGAGATTTGGCAACATTTGTCAAAATTTAAATGCATATACTCTTTGATCTAGCAATTTCATTTGTAGGGAATAACTCTACAGATATTTTACACATTTATAAAATTTTATGTGTACAAGGCTATTCATTGTTAGAGAGAAATTAAAAACAAACCAACTGTCATATTAGGAGAATGGTTAAAAACTAATTTATTGAAATTAAAAAATACTATACTGCCGTATAAAAGAATAAGGATGTTTACAGAAAGAGTTCCAAGATGTAAGCTATCTCAATAGATGAAAAAAAGCAAAGGTACGTAAAGATGTTATCCTTAAGAAAAGAGACTAATGGAAATCAATGTTCATAGATTATATATTCATAAGAATAAATTGTTGGGATCGGCTAAGCAATGCTGCAGTGATAAATGACTCACAATTTTTCAGTGGCTTATCTAACAATCTTTTTATTGTTCACATTGCATGTCCATTATGGATGGGCTGTGGCTCTGATTCATAGCAGCCTCCCTGTGAGACCCAGGCTAACGGACCAGACCCTAAGGGAACTGTGCGGGTTTCGTGGCAGAGGGAAAATGACACAGTGAACCAGGAACTGGCTATTAAATCTCCCACGTGGGTGTCAACCAAACAATGCTCTGCCTACATTTTGGTGGCCAAGCAAGTCACATGACCCCTACTGAATGCAACAGGACAAATAATATACTCGTATATCCAGCAGGGAAGGGTGCCATGAGTCACATGATCACAGGACAGGCAGGGATAAGCCTCGCACCAGAAAGGGGGCAGCTCATTATGAACAAGAATGGAACTGGTCGCTAAGAAATTAGTATAACCGTGATTACCTATGGGATGAGCTTGGAGAAGGTGATGGATGGGAGACAGAAATTAGATGGACACTGTCACTTAGCACATCCGTCCATTTGAACCAGGCGGTTATATTATCTATTCAAAAAATAACTGTTGCCAGGTAGGTACATAAAAGCATATCCATGTCCCTCTTTCCTGTCACATGAGCATTGGAAACATAACCTGAACCCACAGATATGACCCTGACATCTCACTAATAGCAGTTCCTAACAATTCTTGCTCAGAATTGTCAAGATCACTAACTCAGACCAGTAGGAAAGCCCACCAGAGGGTCGCAGGAGCGGCTGGCGGGCTAAAACAGCTGTCTGTGCACACAGCCACTGCCCGGGGCATCCACAGCGCCTGCGCTGGCCTCCGTGGCCATTTCATGGAGAGGGAGGGTCTCCGTGGGACTGGGTGCATTGGCGGTCCTCCTCTCCTGTCTTCCAGTATCACTTCAACCCCTCACAGTCCGTCCTGGTGATGGAAGGCGACGACATCGGGAACATCAACCGAGCCCTGCAGAAGGTCTCCTACATCAACTCCCGGCAGTTCCCAACTGCGGGCGTGCGGCACCTCAAAGTCTCGTCCAAAGTCCAGTGAGTGGAGGCCAGTGGCCTGGGCCCGGCTGGGGCAGTGGGGTGGTCCCCCTGCAGAACAGGACTCGCCCCTCTCCGCCGTTCCCAGCTTCTCTGCTACCCCTCTGAGGATGCCCTGGTAGATCTCTAGTCTCCTGTTCTTAAAATACTCTGTTTTGCCAACTGATATGCCTGGAAGGCACTGTGTTTCTGTTAGTCCTCAGGGGCTGGGTGTGAAGTGGTGTCATTTAAGGGTACAGCGCGTGGTAAGTAGTAGGAACCTTACCAATGTACGTTAATTAAATTAAGAAGCCCAGCCCTGAAGCGCTCCTAAATGGCATGAGTGTGCCAGAGGAAGAGCAGGCACGCTCTTGTCCCCAGGGAGCAGACAAGATGATTTGAGGAGATGAGACCGTTACTGACACCTGTGGATAACTCCCTTACTCACCTGTCAATCACTTGGTAGCCACAGCAGCCGCCACAGACGGCTAGAAGGGGGACCCCAGGAAAATTCCTGGGAGGAGAAGGGTGTTTCCTGATACCTGGAGCCAGGAGAAGGACCCGGAAACACAGGAGCGAGGGTGGGAAGTGGGGCTTGCTGATTGCCCGTGGATGGGGTCTGGGAGAGGTGCCAGGATCAAGCCACAGACAGCAATTATGTTCATAGTCCCATCTAAGGACGGGCTCCCCCATCCTCTCTAAGGCCCTCCCTGGAGGCCTGGGGTGGGGACCAGGCACCTCCAAGTCAGCTTCACTTTACCGTGAAGAGGGACAGACTGGCCAGACTCCAGCTCTGGGACCAGGTTTCCTTAAACTGCCAAGAGGAGGGGTGTCCTCTATGAACTAGTGCCATGGTCAGCAAACTCTTTAGTCAATGGAGCCAAATATCAACAGAACAGCGATTGAAATTTCTTTTCAGAGCCAATTTTTTTAAACTTAAACTTCTTCTAACGCCACTTCTTCAAAATAGACTCACCCAGGCCGTGGTATTTTGGGAAAGAGCCACGCTCACGGGGCCAAAGAGCTGCATGTGGCTCTCGACCACAGAACTAGGGGGTTGGTGCAGCCAAGGCCCAAGGAAAACTGGGAACAGGACCCCAGCACCATTCCCACACCTCACCCACCCAGAGAAGAGGATAGGGGAGCTCAGCATGGCCTCCACCCAGCTTCCCCTTTCCTCGGGAACTTTCCCAGGGGAGGCAGATGGTGGCTGCCACAGCTGGAGCCCACTGTTCCCAGCGCACCCATCTGGGCTCTCCACTGCAGCCTCAGGCTTGGCCGAGATACCCGGCAGAAGTGCCAATGGCACGCACACCTGACAGGGTCTCATGAGGGCCTCAAGTCTGTCAACAATGACTGAGCTCCCGCCATGATGCGGGCTCTGGGTCCCCTTCCCACTACAAGTTGTCACATTTAATCCTTCCTGTTATAAGGAATTAATGTTCTATAGATGACCAACAGTGATTTAGTCTCATCATTCCCAATCTATAGATGCAGAAGCTGAGGTCCCAGGGGTTGAGCACTGTGCTCAGAGTCACCCAGCCCGGGAGGGGCAGCCAGGCCAGGGACCCTTGTCTGTCTAATTTCCGAGGCTTTGCTCCTGTCACCACCCCATTCAGCTCCCGGGTGTTCTGTGTGTATCAGGGGAAACACACGTGGTTACGGTAGCGCTCGGCTGGCACACCTGGAAGAACAGGTGCACGTGTGTGACCTGTTCTCACAGTGATCACAGACGGGCGGTGGCTGGAGAGGCTAGCCCTGTGGTCTCAGTAAGATGGCTGTAACCAGCCAGTCAGACAACCATTTGCTTACCAAACCCTAATGCACAAAACAAGCGATTGCCATCTAATTAGCGTGGCCATTGATTACTTTGTTAGAGGATAATTAGAGGTTTCATGGTTACTTGTTGCCCGGATAGAAAATTCCCATTTCTCCCAGGAGCCGATCTCATTAAGTCCCTAGATTGCTAGTTGTTGTGACAATAATGCATCTTTGAGCTTAAATGTCTGCTGCCATCCTGGCGCCTTGCGGGCCATCAGGATGTCTTGTCGGGGTGCAGGGAGGAAGGGCTGTCTGCATCCCTGCCCGCGGATGCATGATGGGTGGTCCCGCCGTGTGCTTCCCAGGTGCTTTGGGGAGGACGTGTGCATCAGCATCCCGGACGTGGACGCCTACGTGATGGTGCTGCAGGCCATGGAGCCCCAGATCACCCTCCGCGGCACGGACCGCCTCTGGAGACCGGCCGCCCAGTTCGAAAGCGCCCGCGGCGTGGCCCTCTTCCCCGACATCAAGATCGTGAGCACCTTCGCCAAAGCCGAGGCCCCAGGTGACTTGACGCCCACAGGTACCGGGGCATCCTGGGTGGCGGGTAGCGGGCCTTGAGCCCTCACAGCCACATCAGGTCTCACTTCGGGACAACAGGCTCGGACCCCGTAGCAAAGCAGTGACAATAGCAAAAAACACAGATAAATGACAGAAGGGGAGTGAGTGGCCCAGCGAATCACCTACCCCCACATACGTGCTGTGCTGTGGGAGGGCAGGCATTTGTGCTAAATGGTAAGTGACAAAAAAAAAAAGATGCAAATTACAGAGAATCTGTGCATTGACCGGCCTCAGCCACAGGAAGGAGAACGCACACAGGAAAACGCCCAGAGGGAAACGCGCCGTAAACTGACAGTGATGTCCTAGGAGAAGCCTGGGGGCCAAGGGGCTCTGCTCCCCTTCCGTTTTCGGCAGCTGCAGAGTGTTCTGTAGTGAGAGCGATTATTTTGATGATGAGAGGAAAAATGAAAGGAGCACAAGGAAAAACATACAACCGCATCCTAATGTATACAAGTCAGAGACTTGTCTGTCAGTGTTACTCTGGGCTCTCAGGAAGCTTCCCAGTTAGTTGCTCTTTCCAGTGATTTCGTTACTGGAAGGGCTGTTCAGTGAAAGTAGGTAATCGGAGTTATCTGTCAGGGAGAAACACTTAGTTGTACGAAAGCTACAGGATATGCTGCTGACTTGAGGGAGATGGAGGGAGGCAGGAAGAAGAAAGAAGAGGGAAGGAAAGAGGGAGGAAAATCTGGGGTTCAGATCTACAGGAAACACCCCTTTGAGAACTGTCCTTTGTTGCCCCCTCCCTCTGCAAAGGCGGCTGCTACTGATGTGCAGTGCGGGGGCCGGAGTCCCCAGGGGCTGCTCCGGCAGTAATCCCAATTACTGCGGCTTTAAGCCACCCTGGTCCCTAGCCAGTGGGGCCCTGGGGGTGGATGGCGGTTCACCAAGCAGCCCTTCTTAGCTCACAAAACAGATGGAGTTTTACTGCCTGTTGGGCAGGGCAGCTTCCTTGTTACACTGCAAGGTGCATTAGGTCTAGCCACCTTCCCTCTTCCCCTCATTTGTGCCTAAAATCAGACAGAAAAGGGGCCTCTGACCTCAGTGGTCCCAGGCCATAACTGAGAGCAATGGAATTTGCTAGGCCTGACAGCAACACACAGGCAAGGCAGGGAAAAGCAATTGCCTGGGTCCTTATCTTACCTTCTGTTTATGAGAGATACATGCAGAGCACAAGGCCAATATCAGTACTTTCAAAAATATACTCCTATTGTTAGAATAATCATTACCATGGTGCCTTAAACAAGCAGGCTAATGGCATTTGCCACTAGGCCTGAAAGACCCATTCTAGCACCTACTGCCCCCACTGACTCCCTCTGTCCTGTTTCAGTTCAAGGAGGCGTGTCCCTTGCATGGCCCCCTTCTCTCACACACACATTTCCGTGTCAGTTCATATGTTTGCTTTTTTCTGCCCTCTGCCTGGAAGGTTCCTCTCGCACCATCTTTGTTATGGCTGGCAAACATCTCGACCTCCCACGCCCCTTCCAGAAGGCCTCCTTCTTCTCCACCCCGACCCCAGCCTGGGCCGGTCTCCTGCTCTGTACTCCCAACCATCAGGCCTGCCCTACAGCGCAGCGGTCGCCAGCCGAAGGTCCGTGGACCACTGGTGGCCCGTGAGGTCTGAAAGGTTGGCAACCGCTGGTGTCAGGAAGCCTCTAGCACACAACGTTTGCTGTGTGTTTACTAAATGCCCCCCAGGAGCTCCGTGAGGGCTGGGCCATGGCTGATTCTGCTCTGAGTCCCTGAGCCCACGCAGTCCCTTCAGCACAGTGGGAATCAATGAAAGTGCAGATGGGACATACTACCCACATGCAAGCACAAGGGAACAGTGAGAAAATGTCCCCTATCCAGGGTGAGCCATCAATCAGCCACATGGGGAGGTGGAGCAAGGACGCCCTGACCCAGTGGTCGGCAAACCGCGGCTCCAGACCCACATGCGGCTCTTTGGCCCCTTGAGTGTGGCTCTTCCACAAAATACCACGTGCGGGCGTGCACGTACAGTGCGATTGAAGCTTCGTGGCCCATGCGCAGTTTTCAGACTGGGCGAGTCTATTTTGAAGAAGTGGCATTAGAACACTCAAGGGGCCAAAGAGCCGCATGTGGCTCGCGAGCCGTGGTTTGCCGACCACTGCCCTAACCCAACCTGATGGGAAGCTGGCAGAAAAAGCCCGGAAACCACGAGAAGACCATTTGAAATAGAGATACACACGCACCATTGCTAATGATAGACCTTGTCTTAAATGTGTATTTTGTTTTTGTTTTCAATATATTTTTATTCATTGCAGAGAGGAAGGGAGAGGGAGCAAGAGCTAGAAAAGTCAGTGATGAGAGAGAATCATTTATTGGCTGCCTCCTGCACTTCCCACACGTGGGATCGAGCCCACAACCTGGATAACCTGGATATGTGCCCTGACCGGGAATCGAACCATAACCTCCTGGTTCACAGGTCAGTGCTCCACCACTGAGCCACACTAGCCTGGCCTAAGTGTATATATGAATGTGCTTTTACAGTTTGCCAGTGATACGTGAAGCCAGGGAGATTGGCAAGCATTTAAAAATTAAGCATCGGAAAGTGCTTATAACAACAGCTATCTAGGGAGAGGGAAAGATATTTTTGATATTACAAAAAATAATGTATAATTATTTAACATAATTCTCTCATCTTCAGTGAGTCCTTTTTAATTTCTATTTTTATGAATGTTTTATACTGCACAAAGTAGATTAGTCTTCATAAATAAGTAACTACTTATTTCAGTGATCTCAGTTCACACATTCCCACGCACAAGCTGTAAGATCAAAAAACATTTGGAGGCTACTGGCCCAGAGGTGAAGAGTTGACAAACTATGGAGTCAGAAAGTCGTGGTTTCTGTCCAGCTCCTCTCCTGCTATCTGTGTGATCCTAAATAATCCACTCTTCCCCCCTCCGACCTTTCATTTCCCGTCAGTAACATGGGATAATAACGGCACCCCCTCCAGTGTCTGTTAGGGTTTCATTTGCATAGTGCCTGGTGTGTAGCAATCACTCCATACATACCAATCCCTTTCGTGTTAAGGTGAGGTTTTAGTGAGTACTGCCAGCCTGCCCAGCATTCAAATGCTCATTCATACCCTTGGGAAGTTTAAGGCCCAAAATAATCAATCAGGACCAATTTACCTAAGTATTTAACTACAGTAACAATTTCGCTCCATTCGAGCCATGTGTAGCAATACTGCCGCCTGCCAGGGCCTGGGCTGGATACTGAGGGCTCATCATAAAACGTGCTTCTGCCCCAGAGTCTCCCGGGAACAACACATACACATCACAGGGGGTGCACGGAGAAAGCTACAGAAGCAGAGTGGGGAGGGGTACTTAACTCTGGCCTCAAATGAGAGCTATTGCTTATTGAGCACCTACTATGTGCCAGACACTGTTTGAACCCTCCCAAGACCCTTGCCCTCTTTACCGGTGAGGAAATTGAGGGGCAGGTGTTTCTCCAACACCGCACAGCTTCTCAGTAGCAGCACTGGTACTCAAATCCACATCTTGGCTACCGTATTCATGTCAACACACAAACTCCTGCTGCCCAACCTTGGGAGCTGCTGGACTCCCAGCCGAGCAGCGGAGGTGGTGCCTAGGGCTCCACAGCCTCTTCCCCTCACCCAGCCCTCACCTGGGGTGCAGTCACCGAGGAGGGAGATGATACCCAGGCTTCCTTCATTGCCCGAGTGGTCCTCATGCCTGTGTTTCCCTTGTATTGGTCTCCCCGCAGCCCCCAAGTCAGCAGTCTTGGAAGAAATGCTTCACAACTTAGATTTCTGTGACATTTTGGTGCTGGGAGGGGACCTGGACCCAAGACAGGAGTGCTTGGAGCTGAACCACAGCGAGCTCCACCAGCGCCACCTCGACGCCACCAACTCCACTGCAGGCTACTCCATCTACGGTAAGCCACACTCGGCCCGCATCCTGGCAGTCTCCTCCTGGAGTGGCCTCGCCCAGAGAGGCACTTCATCCCCTATGATTGTGTCAGGTGGGGGCCCTTGACCTCAGATCATGGGCTTCCGGCCCTTCTTTTGTGAGCCACTCCAGCATCTTGAGAACCTGGACCACATCCTGTAGAAATAGATATTATAGCAACATTTGGCAAGTTGCGGCCACACATGGTGGACAGAGCCCACTGTCTGTGGAAATCCCCTGGGTCCGTTTCATTAGCTCCTTAGAACGTTTGCTTCAGTACATTCTCTGCTCCTAAGCATCTCAAGCTCTCAGCCTGGCCACATTCAGGAGACCCACCAGCCCCAGCAGCTGCAGCCTGTCTCCCCACCTCCTCCTCGGCCTGGCTGAGACAGGTGTGGTCTCTTGGCAGGTGTGGGCTCCATGAGCCGCTACGAGCAGGTGCTGCGGCACATCCGCTACCGCAATTGGCGTCCTGCTTCACTCGAGTCCCGGCGTTTCAGGATCAAATGCTCAGAACTCAACGGCCGCTACACCAGCAACGAGTTCAACCTGGAGGTGAGTACGCCCTGCGGACGTCAGGGAGGCCCAGGCTCATCCATTCTTTCCCTCGTGTATTTGGAGGGCCCACCTGCCTCTGGTCAACACCCCCTCTCTCTGCTCACCCAGGTCAGCCTCCTCCACGAGGTCAGAGTCTCAGACAACGAGCACGTCAACCACCTCATCGTGCAGCCTCCTTTCCTCCAGTCCGTCCAGCACCCCGAGGCCCGGACGAGCGTCCAGCGCAGTTCAGGTATGTTGCCTGGCAGGAGGGACCTCAGGACAACAGGTAACTCAAGACCATCCACTAAAAGGGCATTTAGGGTGCAGCAGGCATGGGCGCCCAGAACAGATTGGGGGACCTGATAATGGGGAAGCTGTGGGCCCTGGCTCTGAGGTACTCACACAGCTTCCCAAGGGAACTAACTGGCCAGGTAAACAAGTTACAGACAATATGTAATAACAGAGGTTAGTGCAAAGAGCTGGAGTAACATTTTGCAAGTCCTTTTATTTTTATATTTTTTCATCCTTATTGTTGAGCGTGTTACAGATGTTCCCCCTTTTCTCCTCATTGTCCCCCCTTCACCCAGTTTTTGCCCTACCCCATCTACTGTCTGTGGCCATGGGTATGCTCTCACTCCCCCTCCCTCTGAGATTTGTCTGTTCCATGCCTCTGACTCTATATTTTATTCACCAGTTTATTTTGTTCATTTATTTTTAGATTCAATTGTTAATAGCCATGTATTTGTTGCTATTTTATTGTTCATATATATTTTTTTTTTTTAGCTCTTTTTAAAGAATACCCTTCAGCATGTCATGTAATACTGGTTTGGTGGTGATGAACTCTGTTAGCTTTTTCTTGTTTATGAAGCTCTTTATCTGACCCTCAATTCTAAATGAGAGCTTTGCTGGGTAATCTTGGTTGTAGGTCCTTGCTACTCATCACTTTGAATATTTCTTGCCACTCCGTTCTGCCCTTGTGTAGAGGTGTCCTGTAAGGCTCAGCCTCCCCCGTCACCTCAGCTGGGCACTCTAGGTGCACCCCTGTGTGGGCTGTGTGCACAGTCTTGTGGTTAAGCCTTGATTGCTGTGGCATCGCTGGGAGGAGTTGACCTCCAGGCTAATTGGCTGTGAGGACCAGCTGCGACTACAGTAGGAGAGCTGCTATGCAGGAAACGCCCCTATGGAGCAGGACTTGCTTCAGTGGGGCTTTGGTGCTCACTGAGTCTGCCTCTTGAGCGTGTTGCTTATGGGTGTGTAGGATTGTAATCTGCTATGGTCTGAAGCTGTCCACTGGTTCTAGGGCCTCCAAAGTGGTGCAAATTCAGCCACTGCTTGGGGACCAACCAGCAAAAGCTACAGAGGGATTTTCAGGCAACTGCTATTTGCATTGGGCTTGGAGGTGCCCAGGCGAGGCCAGCTGTGAAGGCAGGCTGGCTAGCACTAGTACCAAGTCTTGATTGATAGATTTGGGGCACACTGTCACCAGCTGAAGCTTTTTGAGAGATTTTAGCAAAGTCTGAAGCCAGGGCAGGCCATTCTTATGGAAAAGCTGCTGCAAACACCTTGGGTGGGGCTGCATATTGGATGGAGCGGAGTTCCCGAGAATTCCCAGTGTGGACCAGGCTGATGGAGACTCAGATATGGCTGACAGCTCTGGGACCAGGGAGGTCCCAGCACAGGAACAAAAGTCCCTACGAGCACTCCAGTCTGGGACAAAGCCACCCCGAGTTCCTTCCTCGGTGCCATACTATCCAGTTCCTCCTCCTATGTATCTGAGTACCCCAGAGCCGCCCAATGCTAGAGCTCAGAGGGCATGAGTCCAAGTGCATTCCTGCGCCGGCCTTTAAAAGGAACAGCTGGGTCTCCAGCAGCCTGTGTGTCCCTGAGCCCCAATCCCCACTGGTGTTTACAGCCCATAGGTTTGAGGACTTCCCTTCCCAGCTCTGAGACCCTGGGCTGGAGGGGTCTGGTGTGGTGCTGGGACCCCTTGCTCCTCACAGGTGACCTCCACAGAGAATATCTCCCTCCCAGCACACATGGGTATTGGACCAGCCCATTCCTCACCTCCGCCCCTCCTACCAGTCTCAGCGTGCTTTCTTCTTTACTTCTCTAGTTGTAGTATTTCCATTCAGCCAGCTTTCAGAGGGTTCTGAATGACTGTTCTGTATTTTAGTTGTAATTTTGATGTGTGGGAGGTGGCAAGTACAGCATTTACCTATGCCAACATCTTGGTTCTGCAAGTCCTTTTAGGTTAAGGTGACCAGATCGTCTAGGTGACCCCGTCGTTGGCGGGACAGTCCTGATTTCTAACAATTTTTCCTGCATCCCACGGCGTTCTAAAAAAAAAGTCCCAATTTTTTGAAAGATTGGAAACATTGGAAAGATTCTTTCCAAAAATCGGGACTTTTTAAAAATGCTGTGGGACGCGGGAAAAATTGTTAGAAATCAGAACTGTCCGGCCAACACCTGGACGATCTGGTCACCTTATTTTAGATCCAACTCAAAGCCACATCCTATATGAGGCTTTCCTTTTACCCCTTACATAGGCACACGTATATACACGTGTACCACACTGCAAAATCTCCTACCTGTACTCTGTCCCAGTGCTTGCCATATTGTATTACTGCTGTCTGTTGGGCACTGTGTTGTTCCTGCTAAAAACTCCATAGTACCTGGCTCTCAGAGCTGTCCTATAATTTGAGGGGGAAAAGCGAGATAGAAAAGAACCTGCATGTATTGACTGCCTACTATGTGCCTATGTGGAAGTGCACATATATCATTTTGTTTGCTCCTCACAACTCCCCCTGGGATAGGAATTAAGTTTATCACATGGATGACGAATGTGAAGCCCAGACTGAGGTAGGTGCTAACCCAGAGTTCTAGAGCTGGAAAGGGGTAGAGCAGATTTTTAGCCTAAGCATGGGTGTCTCACTCAGGCTCCATGGTGACCTAGACTGAGCTAGTCCTCCATGTCACGCGGATTCCTTCCTCATTCCAGTGGTCCCGAGCATTGCCACGGTGATCATCATCATCTCCGTGTGCATGCTAGTGTTCGTGGTAGCCATGGGCGTGTACCGGGTCCGGATCACCCACCAGCACTTCGCCCAGGAGACCGAGGCTGCCAAGGAGGCCGAGATGGATTGGGACGACTCTGCGCTCACTATCACAGTCAACCCCATGGAGGTGACCCTCACCCCAGGGCGGGAGCTTCACTGGGATGCTTTCCCTCCACCCTGTCTTTCTTGTGCCAGAAGACCTGCCCTGTCTAACCCAGCCACAGAGGTCCCATCCTTCCACTGAGCATATCCATCCCTCTCAACCTGAATGGACCATCTTTTCCCATCAGCTGCATTCACTGGTTAAAAAACGTGTTAACTGTTCTCACCCAGCAAGCAGAACCAGACATCTCTTAAGGCGAGCAGCCACGTGGCGTCTATCGGTTGCCACTCCCGTTAGATTTAGCTGGGAGCTAACACTTAGGGACTCAGTATTGAATTTTTTGATTAATTAACAGTGCAAATTAAATGGCTTGGCTCCATGCTGCCTGCAGAGCTCATTTAAAAGCTCGGAATAGGTTAAAACAGAACTACAACATTAATAGCTGCCATTTATTGAGCCCCCCATTATGCCAGACACTGCACAGCGTGCTCTCTATGCGCACCTCATTTCCATCTTCCAGCCACCTGAGAAGCCGGAGCCATCGCCCTCCCATGCCGAGGCGCAGACCCACTCAGAGGGAAGTGCCCGCACTCCCATAGCCAACCATGGCAGTGCCATCTTCAGACTCCAGGTTGCCTGATTCTAACGTTCAGATCTTGCCAGCCAACCAGCAGACCCCAGGACCATCCATGAATGTCCAAAGCCCCTGCTCCAAGAAGCATGCCACACATATGAGTATCAAGGGAAGCCATGGCATCTTGCCTGTCAGTCTGCCCGTGGGTATTGAGTGGAGGTAGAGCCCAGAGGAATAAAGCGGGGAGCCACTGAGACATGAAAAGGTTATCCCAGCCTCATCCTCAATGACCCCTCCACTGGCCTTACGCTCTGATTTTGAAGCCTCCCAGTCGATGTGGCTCAGCACATGCAGTGAGCCACCATTGTGGAGACCTGGGAAGAGCTGAGCACCAGGCCAGCTCGTCCCTTCCCAGTGCTAACCTGGTGTTGCCAGCAGTCAGTGTAGCCTGAGCAACCAGAGCCAAAGGGACTGGAGGTTCGGGGAAGACTTCTTGGAGGAGGATGGGTAGGATTGGGGGGAGGCAATGGTAGAAGTGAAGACACTCCCGAGTTGGGATGTGGCCAAGGAGGGGCACATGTTTATACTTTTACGGCCGGTTCATCAAAGCATAAATCCAGAAAGATTTGGCCAGAATTACAAAAACCGGGGGCAGCAGAGATGGGACTAGGGACTAGAAAAAAAGTGGGGCAGAGTCAGAGGGTGGGGGGCAGACAAGAAAATTGAGGACCGTGGACTTTGCTCCTCCCGGGGGGAATGCTTTTGAAGGGCAGCACACCCGAGTCCTGGCTCAGATGACCTCCTGCTCCAGGAGACATGACATTCCTACCTGGGAAAGGGGACAAGCTGAGCCGTCCTCCTCTCACTGAGAAGCAGACACTGAGGACTTGGCCAGCTCATGTCAACAGGTCCCAGTAATGCCAGAAAGCAGACATGGGCCTGACAGGTCACAAAGTGACGTGTGCAACTGGCTTACAAGTCCAGCATCTAAAACACGTCTCACCTTGCCTTCATGGCTCAGAATTTGCTGCTCTTTCTTGCCTGTGTCCTCGGCCCTCTGCTCTACCTTTCACCAGAGGACCTGGCAGGCCAGCATTAAGGGGCCCTCCATGTGGCCCCTCTGCAGCCCCTGACCAGCATTTCCTTTCTCTTCCTACTCCCAGAAACACGAAGCACCGGGGCACAGGGAGGAAGAGACGGAAGAGGAGGAGGAAGCAGAAGACGACATCAGCTCCAGCAGCAGCGACTCAGACGCCAGCGACGAGGAGGAGGTGGAGGGAGGAGTGGGCAGGGGCAGACACGGGCAGAGCGAAGCCAGGCAAGCCCAACTGGAGTGGGACGACTCCACCCTCCCATACTAATGCCCCTCCTGTGCTCACTCACTGTCCCTTTTGTAAGCCACACCCAATGTATGTGAGTCTATCACTGTCGCCTCCTATTTCAATGACACTCTGGGCAGGCCTTCCCCAGCCTCCTGGAACCCGCCCTTCATGTGGGCTCTCCCGTACCCGAGCCCTGGGCTGGTTCCAGGAAGTCCAGCCTCTTCCTCAGTGGGGACTCCGGGGTGGACTGTGCTGCCACACCCACTGCTCCTGCCCCTCCAGGTCCTGCCCGCCAATCTGCAGAGTTCTGCCTTTGATCATCTCTGCAGTCTTCTCCTTGAGCTCCGTGTCCCCAAGACCCTGGGGTTCCAACTCACTGTGTGCACCAAACTCAGTTGTTTCTCCACACAGCGGGTTCTCCTTACCTGACTCTCCAGATGGTGTCCCTCAGGCAGGGTGGCTGGACTTCACACACCCAAGTGCTTGCCCTCAGCACTTGGAAGAAGTCCTTGCTGAGGCGGGAACTAAGTTCACAGGGAGAGGCTCCACACTCATGCATACTCACACTCTCCCCAGTTGGCAGAGCCTTTCCCTTTGACCTGAGACCATCCAAGCGTAAGGTGAGAAGTCCAAAACATGGGCCACCGCAGGGCCTGGGGCCAGTCAATACTGATACCCACACGGCCTCCTTGCTGGGGGCTCCCACCCCATAAAACCGCACAGGCACTGCCCCAGGCGACGGCTGTGAAAAGCCTGCAGCCAGGGATCAGAAGGAAGGGCTGATGGGGCATCACCATTGGGCTTCACGGTGGACACAGATCTGGGAGACAGGGCAGCCCCAGGTGGACAAGGCTCTCTCCACCTAGTCTTAGGATCCTCATCCCTTATGTCACACTGGTTTACCTCTTAGGAAAACACATTCCTGTTGGATATATTAGAACAAGCGTGAACCGCCTCAAGTCTAAAGCAAAAGTTTGAAAACTTAACTGCTAGGAATTAGAAACATTTGCAAGAACAGCTGCTTCATTTTCTTTCCATATAAAAAGGAGCAGTGCTTTGGGTGGAGGGCAAATATATCTGAAAACTTCATTTATTTCTTCTTTTTTTAAATAAGGAAATCTCTTCCATCTCCTTCCTAACATGGACACCTCATGGGGAGAACCGTTGCTATAGTAACTGGTGTGGGATCTTTTGTGGCCAAGAGAATAGCAGGCAAGAATTAGGGCCATTAGAGGACGTCCATGAGGCTCGGACCTCCTGGGCTTTGTCTTCGCATGCGTGATCTGTCCCTGTCCTCCCAGGCTCCTCCAGCCCACTCCATACTGGCTTGTTACAGGCGCCGAGCTGGTCCCTCATCACAGTGGCATTCAGATTCAAAAGTTCAGAATCTGTTCATTCTAATCCCAGCCCATCTTACCCCCCTTTCCCCCCCATTGAAACAGAGCTCCTGAAGCTTATGTCAGTTGTCCTCTCACCTGACCTGCACCCGGCAGGGACCCACAGTAAGCCTTTGCAACCCCCGATTCCAGAAAACATCCTTTATGCAGCCTTTTCCATCGCCTACAGTGCTTTCTGCATCTGTTCCTTCCTCTGAGCCTCGCAATAATTCTGTGGCCTCTGCTGTCAGGCACATTTCCATTGTGAGTAAACAGAGGTTCAGAGGTTCTAGCATCTTGCTTAGTCCATAGACTAGATTGGACTCCCCACTTTCCACGTCGGGTCCAGTGCCCACCACCCTGATTCTATATCTGTTCATCTTTGCCCACCTAACTGGCATTGCTGAGGACCTACTAAGTGCTGAGCACTCACCCAGCAGCAGTGGGAAGGGATGGAGCTGAGTAAGAGAAGCCCCTGGCATCAGAGGACTTGATGGTGGCAGAGTAAGACAAAAGGGCATGGAAATGATAAAAGAGGCAGGTGCAGAGGGAGGGAGAGAAGTCACAGGAAGAAGGGGACACATCCACAAACTCAACCAGCCTCTTATTTTTCCCTTTTTAGAGAAAAACACTGGCAGAAGTTTGGGCTTTTATATTCATTGACTGGACTTTTATATTCATTGACTGGAAATAGACACCTCTGTGAATTCTCCCAACCAAATAGCCTTTTCTCCCCTGCTGTGTCCACACATTTACAGGGGGAAAAACCTGTGGGACTGTGTAGTCCTCACATTCCCCCATCTCCGGGTGGCTGTGTCACTCATTCATGGCTGACTGAGCAGTCTGGAAATGCCAAATCTTGGGGAGAGGGAGCAAGGGCACTTGGCTAGGGCAGCAGAGTCAGGGACTAGACTTACATGCAGAGAAACAACAGGTCATCAGAGTCCCGTCAACACCTGCTGAGAAAAGTCACACTCTGCCCAGTTCAGAGGAGGCACTAGAAGTGGTGCTGCTGGGTCAAAGGCCATTTGTCATGTCCCCAGCACCCTACTCATCACCGTGGTGAGAGCAGGAAGGGGCGGTGATGTAAAAGCAACAGAAGCGTCAGGGATTATCCAGGTGAGTGGCGGGTAATGCCACTTGCCCTCTACCAGATATTCTAGCCACACGTGGAAAAGGTCATGGTCAAACCAGCATTTTCGAGTCTCTAACTGGAGTTTTTAGCCCAACTCCCAGGTGACCTGGACACCCTGTAATCTCTCATCCATGTCAACAGTGGCAGATGAAGCCTTGAACCCAGGAGGAACAGCTGACTGGTTTGGCCAGCCCATTGCTTGTCTTTCCAAGTGCTCCATCAGGTTCTGCTCTCTGAGGCTTGAAAATAGTCCAATACCTCTCCAGTGGTTCTGGTGACAGGGAGGAGGAGGGGGAAGAGGGAGAAGAAGTTGAGAGAGAAAAGGCCAGCACAGAATGTATTGCCCTAGTGGAGCATAGCAAGCAGGGAGCTGACCACCTGTCTTAAAGAATGCTGCTAGTAAAAGCATATTCTAGTAGGTGTAATCAAAGGCTATAAATCTGACCCAAAGCCTGAATTCATCTACATGAAAAAAATGGGATTTCAGTGAGACCTTTTCCCCCAGCATTTTCCTGAATGTACTCAACCCCGCCAGCAGGCATAGGCCACATATCTGCAAGTAGCAAGGCTGTACCTGAACACCAGGACCCTCCCGGGCGCAGGTTCCTGGCGGGGAGCGGGGTTCTTTCTCCTCTCCTGTGCGTACACGTACGGCAGTGCTCCGCAAGCTCTATTTGTAAAGAGCCAGAAAGGGAATAGTTAGGGGTTTGCAAGCCATGTGGTCTCTGTTGCAAGTATTCCCCTCTGTCCTTATAGCATGAAACCAGCCACAGACTTTGCTTAAGCAAATGACTATGAATACATTCCAAAAATAACTTTCATGAACATTGAAAATTCAGGCAAATTGAATTCCTATTATTTTCACATGTCACGAAATTTTATTCTTCTTTTGATTATGATTTTCCAGCATTTAAAATTGGGAAAACTTTCCTGAGCCCACGGGCCATACAAAAACAATAAGGCGGACAGATTTGGCCTTGGGGAGTAGTGTTGCACACTTCTTCTACCCTGCATGTGTAGAAATGGCTATCTCAGACCGTCCCCTAAACTACCCAGTGGTCTTTGCCTCCTAAAAGAACCACAAACAACACCCCAGTGTCTACTCACGCTGTTTTAAAAGTCTGACCCAAAGAAAATGAAAGCAAAAAACACGTGTTACTTGTTGAATTGACTCAAATGCAGGTGAGCACTTGAGCTGAAGGCCCTGGTTCCAGGCACTGACTTCCCACCGAGCACTAGCCCCACTGAGCTGAGGGCTAACTCCCAGGCTCACGGTCTTCTCTGGGAGGCCCAGCCCATACTGATTTCTAAGCGGGAATGTTCGGTATCTCAGACTGATTTACATTTCATGCCATCACTCTGAAAATGATTCTAAAGACTTGTGACTGTTTGAATCAATGGGGATCTAATCAGTAAATAGCCCGACCCAGCACACTTCAAAATAACAGTGTTCTTGGCTCTATGCTTCAATATGAGCAAGAAGAAGAAAAGAAGGATTTCTTAACCATCCCTCATTTAAATGAGCCATGTCACTTAAAAAAAAAAAAAAAGTGAGGGAATGGGTCTAATTCTTTGAAAGGAGAGACCAGGGAAAAGGAGATGCTTTTCAGGTAAGATCATCCTCAGGCCTCTGGGAGAGCCTCAAAGCCTCCTGCCGGGTGCTCTGGTGGGCTTCCCAGTGGCACATGATCTCTCTGCCTAAGATGCTGATGGAGGCAGACAAGCCAAAGCCCCGGGCACAACTTAATTTTCAGGAACCATTTTCCCTTGTCCAGCTGGAGGCAAAGGAAAGGAGAAATGAAAGTGTGAAGTCAGCTCCAGCACCTTCAGTTCCAGGTTGCTTTCCTTTATGAATGAATTCTGGGCCTGCTTTAAGGATCTGGCTCTCACTTTCCTTTTGGCACCAGCTGCAAAGGACAGTTGGCTTTGCCAGGGCTGTGGATTCGAAGCCACTCTTGACTTTCCTGGGGAGATAAAGAGAAACAGAAGAACTTACCTCCGCCCGCACCCCAGAAAGCTCTCCCGCACTGCCTGTGAGCCATCAGCGAACAGATGGGATTCTGTGTCTGCAGCTATGTTCCATGTAATGCAGCAGATCCTTGCTGGGCACCGGGGTGTGCCAGGCCCTGTGCCAGATCAGAGGAAGAGAGGAAGAGTTAGGCATGGCTCTGCCATAAGGAGCTCCTGCTCTTACAAGCTGTTGAGATGTTTCCTTTGCCATGCGAGAGGCTGTCTAGGAGTAGTCGGGACCGTTGGGGACAGAGTTTGGGGTTGGACAAGATGGGATAACATGCTTCATCAGACCCCAGTTAAGACCAACTGAGTCAGAAATTCCGGGGGTGGGGCCCAGCCCTCCGAGTTTTAATGAGCTCTCGGGTTTTGAGGACCACTGATACAGGCTGAGGAAAGTGACTTAAGCTGGCTTTGGGAGGGGAGGATCGTTAGCAAGGTAAAATGCTCAACCACTCGTGTGGTGAGGAGAGGGCCTGCCAGGCTCCAGGGCACGCGTCCGGAGGCGGGGTCTCACAGAGCCCTGGTCCTGGTCCCAGTTCCACTCCTCCCCTCGGGCAGGACCCGCTTCCTGCTGCTCTGGCCCCTTTCTTCCTGGCAGGGCTGTGGTGAGACCACCCATCCCTAAGGAGCTGCTACCAGCTCCCTCCTCAAGGGCTGCCCTTCAGGGGGACAGTGAAGCTGCAGCAATGACCCTGCGCTGCCAGGAGAACTGCTCTCTGTGCTGCTGGCGCCTGGCAGGCTGGGCGTGGTCACCTAAGGACACTGCAGGTTGCTGCAGCGCTGCTCCGTGTGTGGCGGGACTGGGCACACAGCAGCATCACCCAGGCGCTCAATTGGGAGGAAATAAGTGGCTTCTCTTAGAAGGGCAGTTGCTCTTTCTACTGAAAGAACAAAACCAAAGCCAAAAACAAGCTTGTGGCCTTCCCTATAGAGTTAGACAATCTGTCTTGGCCCTGGAATTTCTAAGACCAGACTCCACCAATGCCCCTTTTCCCACTGATCAGATGCCTGAAGTCGACCAATTATTGATTTAGGTTTTTGATTTGTGCTTTAAACTATGAAGCTCCACAAACCTTTGGGAGAACTAGTTGGTGCTCTATCAGTCGTTTACAACTGACTGTGGTACAGAACCTGTCCTCATAGAGCACATGTGTCAAACACAAGGCCCGCGGACCAAATCCGTCCCGCCAGGCCTTGCAATGTGGCCCACACCGCGCTGTCATCACTGCACTCCGCTGTGTTTCCATCACAATGACAGTTTATGACTGTTCAGTAAACCATTCGGCCCGCGATTTAGGCTGGATTTTAGATTTTGGCCCCTTCTCTGATTGAGTTTGACACCCCTATCATAGAGGATTTCTCAGACTGGGAGTCAGAGGACGAGCTAAGAAAGAGCCCAGGCACATGGCCTTGGATAGCTTCTCCTGCTATGTCTGCCTCCTAAGAAGCCCAATTCCCCCCCGAATCACATTCCTGGTCCTCTCAGCAGTCGCCTCGCTGAGTCCTCCCACATGCCCTTAAGGACACCTCCATTTTCCAGCCCAGCTTGGAAAATAGCTTC